AAAAAAAAAAAAAAAGGCAGGCAGAACTTGCAGAGAGGCCCACTCACCTCATACCTGGAAAGAATCCCAGACTGACTTTTCCTAGGCACAAAGGGGAAATTCCAACAGTAGAAGTCTTGGTTGTTAAAGATAGTAATATTTTAAAACTTTTGGGGGCAACACAGTTTAAGAAAAGTGAATGCAGGAGGGGATGGCATTGTGGCCTAGTGGGTAAAGCTGCTGCCTGCAGTGCAGGCATCCCATATGGGCACTGGCTCTAATCCTGGCTGCTCTTCTTCTGAGCCAGCTCTCTGCTACAGCCTGGGAAAGCAGTACAGGATGGTCCAAGTCCCTGGGCCCCTGCACCCACATAGAGACCCTGAAGAAGCTCCTGGCTTCAGATTGGTGCAGCTCTGGTCATTGCAAACAGTTGGGGAGTAAACCAGTGGATGGAAGACCTTTCTGTCTGTCTCTCCCTCTCATTGTCTGTAACTCTATCTCTCAAATAAATACATAAAATCTTTAATAGAAAAAAAGTGAATTGGGCGCTAGCTCTGTGACGTAGCAGGTAAAGCTGCCGCCTGCAGTGCCGGCATCCCATGTGGGCACTGGTTCAAGTCCCAGCTACTCTACTTCCAATTCAGCTCTCTGCTATAGCCTGGGAAAGCAGTGGAAGATAGGCCAATTCCTTGGGCCCCTGTATCTGCATGGGAGACCTGGAGAAGTTCCTGGCTCCTGGCTTTGGGTCAGACCAGCTCCAGCCATTGCAGCCATTTGGGGAGTGAACCAGCAGATGGGAGACCTCTCTCTCTCTCTCTCTCCCCCCTCCCTCCCTCCCTCTCTGCCTCTCTGTAATTCGACCTTTGAATCTTAAAATAAAATAAATAAAATAAATCTTTGAATCTTAAAATAAAAAGATAAAAGTGAATTAAGCACACACACAGTGCTTGGATGAAAAGAATTCATATTAGAGGATTAACAGCACTGATTCAACAAATGTTTGGTGAATTCCTACTACATGCAAGGCTTTTCAGTGTTCATCAGTAGACCACACAGAGATCCTCTCCTTCAAAGGACTTAGATTCTGGAGGGAAAAATGGAAAACAGAAGGTGAGTTAGCTGTCTAATGTGCCTGAAGGGAATGAGTGCAATGGGAAAAGGCTAAGCAGAGCGGGTCAAGGGGCTGCAGTGAGCGGGAAGTGCTTCCAAACTACATGCAAGAATCTTTGAGACCCTCCCTTCAAAAGGTAGACCGTTCCACTCTGCCAGAGTACAGACCACACTTAGCAACTCACTTCTAACACAGAACACAGCAGAAGTGTGGCACCTCACTCCAAGACAGGATATGAAAAGACTGGCTCTGCAGTAGGCATTTGGCTTATGGGTTAAGATGCCAGTTAAAACACCTCTGTCTGGGGCTAGCATTGTGGTGCAAGGGGTTATTCTGCCACTTGCAATGCTGGCATTCCATATCTGAGTGCCGGTTCAAGTCTCAGCTGCTCCACTTCTGATCGAGCATTCCTGCCAATGCTCCTGTGAAGGCTGTGGAAGAAAGCCCAAGTGCTTGGGCTCCTGCCACTCTCATGGGGGAGCACGATGGAGTTCCTGGCTCCTGGCCTTGGCCTGGCCCAGACCTGGTTGTTGTGGCCAGCTGGGGAGTGAACCAGTGGATGAAAGGTCTCTCTGTCCCTCTCCTGCCTCTCTGTCACTCTCCCTTTAAAATAAATAGCTGCCAGCGCTGTGGTGCAGCAGTAAAGCTGCCACCTGCAATGCTGACATCCCATATGGGCACTGGTTCGAGTTCCGGCTGCTCCGCTTATGATCCAGCTCTCTGCTATGGCCTAGGAAAACAGTAGAAGACAGCCCAGGTCCTTGGGCCCCTGCACCTGTGTTGAAGACCTGAAGGAAGCTCCTGCCTCCTGCCTTCAGATCGGCGCCACTGTGGCCATCTGGAGAGTGAACCAGCGGATGGAAGATCTCTCTCTCTCTCTCTCTCTCTCTCTACCTCTGCTGCTCTGTAACTCTGCCTTTCAAATAAATAAATAAATCTTTTTAAAAATACATAAATAATTTTTCCCAGAAATTTTTATTTAAGGTATACAAACTTCATGCATTTCATAAATACAAAGTTAGGAACACAGTGATTCTTCCCACCCCATCTTCCCTCCCACTGGCACTCCTAGCCTTCTTCCTCTTCCTTCTCCTACTCCCAACCTTATTTTCTACTAAGATCTAACTTCAACGAACTTTATACACATAAGATTAAAACCCTAAACTAAGTACAGAGATCAACAAATAGTATGAGGAAAAAAAACTGTTTTAAAGACACCTGTGTCCCATACCAGAGTGCCTGGGTTCAATACCCACTTCTGGCAACTGACTCCAGGTTCCTGCTAAGCCAGACCCTCGAAGCAGTAGTAATGGCTCAAGTAATTGGGTTCATGTCACCTCCATGAGATACCTAGATTGAGCTCCCAGCTCCTGGTTTCAACCTCTGGCTCAGCTCAGGAATTTTGTGAATTCTGGGAAGCACCCTAGTGGATATTAGCTCTCTGTTTCTCAAATAAACAAGTAACTTAAAGGTTTGTCTGGGCCACCTTCCTGCCCTCAGCTGGCTGGAGCAGTGTGAGATGCCCTATGAAACAGCTCGTGTGGGGAGTAACCACGTCTCCGCCAACAAGCAGCAGGGCACTGAAGCTGACGAGGCACAGGGGTGAAACTGAAGCTGAGTTTTCTTGCCATGGCGGAGCTTTGAGATGACTGCAACCATGAGAGACTCTGATCCAGAATCACTGCACCAAACACTCAGATTTCTGACCCTCAGAGACACTGTGAGATAACACATGCCTACTTCTCTATTCCAAGCTGCCAATTATTAGGGCAGTTGTTAAATGGAAGGAGGTTGTCGCTCCCCCTCTTCGTGGAGGAGCAACACAGGACCCTGCGCTGTTCTTTCGTCTGCTCGGCCCTCCCCGGGTTTGCTGCTGGTTCTTCCCGGGTTGGCTACTATCCCTTCCACCTCCGTGGAAGGGCGGTTCCCCCTGGCCGCTTTCCCCACTTCCACAGGGGAGCGGCACACCGCCGGCCGGCTCTTCTCGGGGGCTGCACAGGTGTTCCCCTTAGGTGTTCCCCTTAGATGTTCCCGGTGCATGCCGTCTCTCTCCTCCTTTATAGTCCTCCTCCGCCAATCCCAACTCGGCTGCCCACATGCCGAGTACGCTGCTCTCCTCCAATCAGGAGCAAGTCCTACAGTTTATTGGTTGAACTGGAGGCAGCTGTGCGGAAGCTGTTTACTTCTCTCCCAGCGCCATATTGTGGGAGAGCAGATGCATAGAATAAGTCTTAATTCCAGTAACTCAGTCTAGTCCGGTTTGCTCCCCACAGGAGGTAGCTCATCTAATGAGAGCTGAAGGGGGCAGCAGAAGCATTAAATAGTGTGGCCAGGCCTGATCAAGAAGGTGGCATTTGAACTGAGACTATGAGGTCAAGGAGGCCTGTCTGAAGGGCAAGGAGATCAGGGCTTGCAGAATGGGTCACCCAGTTGGTGGTCAACTCATTGGGTAACTTGTAGGCAACTATAAGGTTTCTGGCTTTTCTTTTAAGTTAAGGGGAGGGCCACAGCAGGGTTCTGAGGAGAATGTTGTGATGTTTCCAACAAGTCTAACAGATGCACCAAAGAGAGTATAAAGGATGTGCCATTACTTCAACCATTTTTATATAATATAATTCATTGCTAACTACAGATTAAGCTTTTCTGTGGATCAATTTGATAGTCTTATAGATGGAAAGGCAAAATGAAAGCCCTAAGAAAAGATTCTGAGGGAAGAAAAATAGTCCTGGCCACACTCAATGAAAAGGAAACAACCTGACATAATTCACATCATATCACATTCTCCAGTCAGTGATGCATGGAAAAACCAGGAGTTTATGAAGTTTCTCCTCGGTCTGTAATTCACAACTTGGAGAAATACTAGTTTCTTTTTCTTTTAGAGTTCTTTCATTTTGTGCATTTACAAGCAAGTCACTGCACTTCATTACAACAGCAAAGACACCACTGCATGGATTTTCTCAAAACTCATGAGGAAAACAGATATGACTGGTATAATTCCAAGTCACTGACACGATGCCCACCTACAAATGGGCAGCTGGATCTTACCTGACCTAAGGCATTTCTTAAGTTTAGGAACATATCTCTGAAGGAGTCGATGCATATTTATATCCCTGGCCTCATCCAACGCACACTTCCCGCTGTCATTCCTATGTAACGGGTTGGCTCCGTTCAACAGCAGCAGTTCTGCCACCTAAGAGGAGATTGCCAGACAAAGAGTAAGGCATACAATATGCAATTCTAAGTAACAACAAATGTTTCTTTCAAAAGCACAGAGTCTGTTTTATCAACAACACTTTTGCCCATTAAAAAAAAAAAAAAAAACCTCATAGGGCCGGCACTGTGGTGAAGTGGGTTAAGTCATGGCCTGTAGCCCCGGCATCCCATATGGGTACCAGTTCAAGCCCTGACTGCTCCACTTCCAATCCAGCTCCCTGTTAATGTACCTGGTAAAGCAGCAGAAGATGGCCCAAGTCCTTGGGCCCCTGCAATCATGTGGAAGACCCAGAAGAAGCTCCTGGCTCCTGGCTTCAACCTGACCCAGCCTTGGCCTTTGTGGCCATTTGGGGAGTGAACCAGAGATGAAAGACTTCTCTTCTCTCTTTCTTTGTCTATACCTCTCCCTCTCTGTAACTTTTAGTTTCAAATAAATAAATCTTTTAAAAAAAACTCATATAGTTGCTACTGAATCATAACTTATTCACATATAAATACCTTTTTTGGGAAAGATTTATTTATTTATTTGAGGGGCAGAGTGACAGACTGAGAGAGGGAGAGGTTTTCCATCTGCTGGTTCAAACCCTAAATGGCTGCAACAGCCAGAGCTGGGTGGATCTGAAGGCAGGAGCCAGGACCTTCTTCTGGGTCTCCCACCCTGGTACAGGATCCCAAGCACTTGGCCCATCTTCCACTGCTTTCCCAGGCCATAAGCGGAGTTGGATAGGAAGAGGAGCAGCCAGGACACGAACCAGTGCCCAGATGGGATGCTGGCACCACAGGCAGAGGTTTAGCCTACTATGCTACAGTGCCAGCCCCCAAATCCCTTTTCTTAAAACAAAAAGATGGAAGAGATTTTTTTAAAATGGAAACAAGAAGAAAGGGAGAAGGGAGAGAAGAAGAAAGTAGGAGAAGGGATGGAGTGAAGGGGGAAGGGAGGGAAGGAGAGAAAGAAGGCTGCAGCCGAGATGTCTGTAGCCAGGGCTGGTGAGCTAAGCTAGGGAAAACACGGGCCTCAGGACTGCATTCTGAGTAGAACCAAGCACTGACAGGCACCAGGAAATGGCCAGCTGTCCACCTGCATCTCTTCTGCTCCTCCTCAGTCCTCCCTCCACCACTACCGCTCCAGTGACCTCTCCACTGAGCTCTCCCACCTGCATCTCTGCTACTGCTCCTCAGTCCTCCCTCCACCATTACCGCTCCAGTGACCTCTCCTCTGAGCTCTCCCACCTGCATCTCTGCTCCTCCTCAGTCCTCCCTCCACCACTACAGCTCCAGTGACCTCTCCGCTGAGCTCTCCCACCTGCATCTCTGCTACTGCTCCTCAGTCCTCCCTCCACCACTACCGCTCCAGTGACCTCTCCTCTGAGCTCTCCCACCTGCATCTCTTCTGCTCCTCAGTCCTCCCTCCACCACTACCGCTCCAGTGACCTCTCCTGTGAGGCTCTCCCTGGCCCTCTTCCCCTCCCTGTAGCCCCAGAAAGAATGATCTTTCCATCCTTTGCTGTACATGGTGCATCACCGTGTCGAGTGTATTCTATATTACACTTGTTTCTTGCATGTCTGCCTCTTCTTCTCTACTCTATTGCTCAGGATGCAATGCTTTTCTCTCGCCTTCCGGAATCAGGAAAGATCATACTCTCCAGGTTCCAGCCCAAGCACGAGCTTCCTAGCATTACCTGTCTGATATTTTACGTCTTGTAACATCTAAGGCAGTGACCAATCCAACATGTAGGGTCCAGGCCATTTTTCTGACCCTATCTGCCTCATTTAGGAGATTTCCTGAGACGGCTCCAAGCCTCTGATGCTCCATTCCTGAAAACTGTCTCCCTCCACACAAAATTCTCAAAGCTGGGGGCTGAGTCAGTCCAGAACTGATGTGGAGTTCTGTCAAGCTCACTGGACTAAGTGAGATAACTTGAAGGCTCCTCAAAGCTAAATAGAGGCCAGCACCACGGCTCACTAGGCTAATCCTCCACCTAGCAGCGCCGGCACACGGGGTTCTAGTCCCGGTCAGGGCGCCGGATTCTGTCCCGGTTGCCCCTCTTCCAGGCCAGCTCTCTGCTGTGGCCCAAAGTGCAGTGGAGGATGGCCCAAGGGCTTGGGCCCTGCACCCATGGGAGACCAGGAGAAGTACCTGGCTCCTGCCATCGGATCAGCACGGTGCGCCGGCCGCAGCGCACCGGCCGCGGCGGCCATTGGAGGGTGAACCAACGGCAAAGGAAGACCTTTCTCTCTGTCTCTCTCTCTCACTGTCCACTCTGCCTGTCAAAAAAAAAAAAAAAAGCTAAATAGAAAGGGAAGTTTAAAAAGACAGACTTGGGGCCAGCACTGTAGTGTAGTGGGTTAATGCCCTGGTCTGAGGTGCTGGCATCCCATGTGGGTGCCACTTCTGGTCCCAGCTGCTACACTTCCAATCTGGCTCTCTGTTATGGCCAGGGAAGGCAGTGGAGGATGGCCCAGGTCCTTGGGCCCCTGCACCCACATGGGAGACCCGGAGGAAGCTCCTGGCTCCTGGCTTCAGATCGGCCCAGCTCAGGCCACAGTTGTAGCCTCAGTCTGGCTGGGTGAACTGACAGGGGGCTGGGTGCTCTTCACTGTGGGAGCCTTGTGTGCTGGAATTGTGAATACATGCTGGCTGTGTAGGAGGGCTCAGGGTGTGGCTGGGACTTTGCGCAGTCACTGTGGGTGCCTCCAAACACTCGGGTCTCCCTGATCGCTGGTGAGGGTTACTGCTGCAGGATTCATGCTCACACTGACAAATGCACGGATCCTATGTGTGGTTCTTTTGGCAGTGTGGACGAATACTGTACCCACTGGGGCTAGCACCCAGGCACTGGTCTCTGAGGAGAGGTGAGTATGAGAATACCAGAACACAGCAGAACAAACCTCCCCTCTGATTAAGAGAGAGAGACAGAGAGAGAGAGTGAGTTACCACATCCAACTTACATGTCTCCTTGGACACTCCCCTCATCCTGGAGCACTGAGCAGAGCTCCCTGACCACACCAAGCACACACGTCTGGGTATTAAAAGAGCAGGCACTCCACTAAGTCACAGAGGCATAGTCCAAAGAAAAAGCCATCACAGGTGAAAAAAAAAAACAATAAGTAACTCTATAATTGCCTAATAATAAATTCAGCAATTCGGACCACAGCCGTGGTGCAGTAGGTTAATCCTCTGCCTGTGGTTCCAGCATCCCATATGGGAACCGATTCTAGTCCCAGTTGCTCCACTTCCAATCCAGCTCTCTGCTACGGGCTGGGATAGCAGTGGAAGATGGCCCAGGTCCTTGGGCCCCTGTACCCACGTGGGAAGACCTAGAGGAAGCTCCTGGCTCCTGCTTCAGATTGGCTCAGCTCCAGCCGGTGCTGCCATTTGGAGAGTGAACAAATGGAAGGAAGATCTTTCTCTCTGTCTCTCCTTCTCACTGTCTGTAACTCTACCTCTCAAATAAAATATTTAAACAAAAAAAAATTCAGCAATTCAGAAATAAGAATAAGGAAAATAACACGATGGGCCCAAAAGACAAAACACTTCAAAACAAGAATGTGAAGATGAAGAGACTGACGAAATGCCAGAAACAGAATTCAAAATCTTGATCGTAGGATTACTTAGAAGCAATCAGAAGCGAATCCATGAACTAAAGAAATGCATACATAACAAGAATGAAAACCTTTCCAATGAAATTGAGATTTTAAAGAGAAACCATAATGAAATATTGGAAATGAAGAATTCAATAAAACAAATAAAAAATGTGGTGGAAAGCCTTAACAAAAGACTCGATGAGGCAGAAGAAAGGATATCTGAGTCAGAACACAATCTCTAGAAATTTTACAGTCAGACCCCCCCCCCAAAAAAAGAAAAAATTAGAAAACTAAAAAACACTGTTGGAGATTTATGGGATACTATCAAACGACCCAACATAAAAATCTTAGGAGTTCCTGAAGACATGGAAAGAAAGAATGGACTAGAAGATCTATTTAGTGAAATAGTTACAGAAAATTTTGCTAATTTTTTTAAGATTCTTATTTATTTATTTGACAAGTAGAGTTACAGACTGTGAGAGAGAGACAGAGAGAAAGGTCTTCCTTCTGTTGGTTCACCCCCAAAATGGCTGCAACAGCCCGAGCTGGACCAATCCAAAGCCAGGAGCCAAGTGCCTCCTCCTGGTCTTCCATGTGGGTGCAGAGGCCCAAGCACTTGGGCCATCCTCCACTGCCTTCCCAGGCCACAGCAGAGAGCTGGACTGGAAGAGAAGCCACCGGGACTAGAACCAGCATCCATGTGGGATGCCGGAGCTGCAGGCGGAGGATTAACCTCGTGTGCCACAGCACCCCAAAAGCTTTGCTAATCGGAAGGAAGAAAGGGATGTTCAAGTACAGGAAGCACACAGAACTCCTAATATACATGACAAGAAAAGATCCTCACAACACACTGTAGTCAGACTCTCTACAGTAAAACATAAAAAAAAAAAAAAAGTTTCTAAAATGTGCTAAAATGTGAATGAGAGAAATGCCAGACTACTTTCCGAGGATCTCCAATTAGACTCACAGCTGAATTCTCATCAGAAACCCTACAGGCTAGAAGGGAATGGTGAGATACAGTCCCAGTCTTAAAAGAAAAAAACTGTCAATCCAGAACACTGTACTCTGCAAAACTCTCAATTATGAATCAAGCTGAAGTAAAGACCTTCCATAAGAAACAGAAATTGAAAGAATCTGTCACCACTCATCCAGCCCTGCAAAAGATGCTTAAGGATGTGCTACTCACAGAAACATAGAAAGATAGCCATCACTATGAAACAAAGAGAAGGCAGAAATTCCCCCAGTAGAAGTAAAAAGAAATCCAAAGTAAACAATAGTAATATTTATGGGAAAATGGCAGGGCCAAGTCATTACTTATCAATAGTCACCTTGAATGCAAATGGTCTTAACTCTCCATTTAAAAGGCACAGACTGGCTAAATGGATTAAAAAA